TTATCCGTAAAAATTTGTAATTTTTATAAAATTTGTTATTTTTAGAAAATTTGTCTTTTGCATTTTTTCATATTACCCTTTGAATAAATAGAAAAAAAATGCAAAAGTGCAATGCAAGTTTCTGAAAATTTCCCAATTTCTCCGTTTTTTCCGAAAGTAAACGATTTTTTTCAACCGCGGCTCAATTTTTCCGGAAATTTTAAATCCCTAATTCTATGTATCCTTTTTTTCGTAAGTAATATTATAAGGGCATTTAATTTTTCCGAAAAGAATCGAAAAAACACGTTGCTAAGTAATAATTTAACAAAAAGCCTGAGTGCTGGTGGCAACAAAAATCCGAGTCGAAGAGGAGGATTTTTGCACCTGCACGAATGCATTTTGTTAAAAAATATTACTTAGCATTGTGTTTTTTCGATTTTTTTCACAGGAAAAATTAGATGCCCGAATGGTATTTGACAAGACTATTTCATGAGTAACAGTTAACAATTAAAATATAAATTGCAATTTTTGGTGACAACAGCTGTCAAGTTTTGCCGCGGGTAAACTCGAACAAACTGCTGACAGGTGCTGTCACACAGTTTTTTCACCTAGAAACCATTTGTAATTCAAAATTGCGCCTTTGTGATTGGTGGAAATTAAGACGAGGGAAATAGTCATATAAATAACTGATAATTCTTAAAAATCATTAAATTTTCTACAAAAAATTTTATTGAGTCAAATTTCTATCTATTTTACTTACCAAAAGACTTGGAAAATGGACATTTTTAAAATTACTCGTTTCTTAGATTTTTAAACTAAACTATTGATGATAGAGCTAAAAGTTAAATAGCAACTTTATAGTAGGTACATTTAATGTTCTATAAAATCGTTACCTACAGTTTTGAAAATTCCACGCAATATACAAGTACTAAAAGGGACCTTCACCAGCTTATAGTCAAAGAAAAAGGGTGTCTACAATTTAGAAGTCTAAGTTGTTATTCTGCAAGTGAGCATCACTACAAGGGATTTTGTTTATGCATTACTCTAAAATCTTTATAGATTCTTTTTTACGTTATCTTATTAAATGCTTTGTGTACCCCAGTCCGTTGTGATCTCAATGTCGTTACTTAAAATGATTTTTATACACTATCACTTGGTAATAGGTGTTTATAAATTAGCGTTTAACTCACTAATACAGTGACTAAAAGAAAATATTAATGGTATTGTTTTTTTAACAAAGAATCGGAATGGTTTCTTTTAAAAAGTAAAAAAAGCATACAATTTTTAATAAAAAATAAAATAAAAAATTGAAGTCAAAAGTTTGTGAACTAAGTACATTTTTTTCAAATTATTTTTATAACAATTTTTTTTATTGAATTAAATTTTGGATTTCAAATTGGTAACACAGTGGAGATATATAAAGCTAGCTAAACACATTTTTCTGAAAAAAAAAACGTAAAAAAATTAAAAAATGCACTCCCTGTCTTAAATGTAAGTAAACAAAACTCTAAACATTTATAAAAATCCAACCAAAAGTCAATTTAAGCAACAAAAAAAATTTGATCTTCATTTTCCTGAAAGCGGGTGTTTCTTGAAAATGACCCATTTACAAAATTCACGAACAAAAATTTACAAATCAACAAAAACAAAAAATAAAGCCGAGTTTCTGGAACAGTCCTTCAAATTGTCTATTTATTGTTTGAAATTACTATAGTAATGTATACATTCCTATTTTCCATCAAAAAGACCGCAATTTTTCCGAATAGTCCTTAAAAGTCTTCCCAAAATAAATGAGTACCTAATTCTTCAGGTAATGTTTTTTGTATTATACTAAATGAAGAGTTCACCTGTGGAAGTTCAAAATGTAACAATAATTTTTGACCTTAATTCGTGAACACATCGTTTTTGCAAAATCTTTGCTAGAATTTATACAGAGTGCTTAAAAAATTTGACCTTACTTTTTTACCATCATGTATAAAAATTTATTAAAAAACTATCGCTTTAGGGGTTTTTGGGTTTACCAAATTCAGAAAACCTATATTTTTTAAATTTAAAAAATGCCCAATAACTTTGACGTTTTTGGAGATCTTCTATTAATCATAGAGGGCCATGGAAATGACATATGACAAAGTAAAAATATATTTTTAAATGAATACCAAATTGTCGCCAATCAAAATGAAACACACTGTATAGTATGTATGCATGATGATTTTATTATTACTTAGGTAGGTGGTTGTTACAGATCTTTCTACGTATCCGAAATACAGGGTGTTTTTAATTTTAAGCCCTATTTACTTACCTATTAATTAAAAATCCTCTAAATTTATCTACCACACACTTCTCACTAAAAACTAAGACACCATTCTCAAGAACACAAGATGTATACAGAAACCGTTACTACACATATTTCGTTCATGCTTTGCTAACAATGTAAATTTTTAATAATATGTAGACCCGATGGTCATCGTCATCGTCATGCATGGACCGCAAAATCACTAAGGCTGATCCCAAAAAGATACGAAGATGCACTCAAGCTACTCGCACATTTTTTTTAATAATTAAATGATATCTCCCATCGGTTGTGTAATTTAATTTATAGTTTCCATTATTGCACAACGAAATATTAATAAATTTAATTAAAAGTGTTTAAAGGAAGCCAAGTTTTAATCACCACCATTTAATTTTATTTCATTCCTAGGTATTTATATTATTATTATTATAATTATTTAAATATTTACTATTTAGTTAATAATTTTGTTTATTAAAATGGGCAATTTTTGTTAATTTTTTTAAATTTTTATTGAGTTTTCCTCCAAAATGTCCTAAATCTTAAATCCTAAATAAGTTTAGACTCCTCTACATAAAATATTCGAGTTTTATTTAACAAATTTGAGGTTTACCTAGTTTTTAAGAGTTAAATAAAATTAAAAAAGAACCGATAAGATTTATAATTTGCATAAAAAGGCTCAATACAAACAAGGACTACCCAAAAATTGAAATTTAAAATTTAAAGTTTACAAAGACCGGAAACACGCCTGATATTTGAAAGTGCCAATATTAACAACAAATAAATAAAAAACCTTTTGTTTTCTATAATTAAACAATAAAGGTACATTTTGTCAACAAATAAAGCAATAGGTTATCTATTGCAACGATGAATCAATCATTCGAAAGTTAATTTACATAAATAAATTGCCAAATAAAATAAAAATAAATTACGGTTTATGAGAATAATGATTAATATTAATAATAATATTATAATCATATAAATTAAGGTTACTTATTTAGTTTTGAAATTATTTCAAATTGCAATATTGATCAACATAATCAACATTTTATTGCAAAAATGAGATTTCAATCACAAAAAATTGAAAAAACATTAATGTTTAAACAAAATTAACAATTTTGCGTATTTTTTATTTTATTGGAAAAATGCATTTTTCGTTTTATTATTAATATTATAAAATAGCCCATAAAAGAACAAATGTAATTTTATAACGAAATACAAGAATTTTTAGTAATTTTTGTATCATCACCTTTTTATTTAAAATTTATTTTAAGCCCTAAAAAGCGTTTTTAGCGCGATTCTATTGATAAAATCTATTTTACATAATATAGTTGTTTTTAATACTAATTAATTCATCTAAAGATGTAATAAAAGTTTTATTGAAAAAAAAAATTATAACAAAACTACAAAGTCGGTCAAATTAGCAAATTAAATTTATTATTATTTAAATGGTAAAAACAGAAAAACAGTTAAACGTCGGGTTTACGAAATATTCACTAAAAACTTTAGTCTAAAATAACATATTTTTAAATGTGACATACTGTATATTTTTACATATTTTAATAGACCATTTAATTGGAACAATATTATATTATGTGTAAAGGTTGATAATGGTATATTAAAGAACTAATGTCATAAGACGTCATTTTGTCGCAAGCGGACAATTTATAAAACGAGCGACGAAGGAGCGAGTTTTATAATGGACCAGTGCGACAAAAGGTCTTGACATGAGTTCTTTATGCTATTTTATCTATTTTGCAAAAATTCTTTAAAAAAATTTAATTTTATACCTTAAATTTAATTTGGTCGAATTTTACTTTAGATAGTTGGTATTACAGTCATTGGTTTGACAGTAAATGTCAAAATCGATTCGCCATGCCGTCCTTAATTTACATATTTACAATAGGCGGCTGTTAATGTTAAAGAAGAAAAAAAGGATTTTCTTTGGTGTTAAACAAAATTTATTGCCAGAAAAGTCTCGTAAGTACAATGGCCGACACGGAATTTTGAACGACTATCATCCTGTTGACATCAAAATCTAAACTTTCTTTATGGACAACTAACCTTACTTTCGGTTATCACTAGTATTGTAATTTTGACAGCGAAAGCAAAAATGCTCAATATTGTATCTTTGCTATTTACAGATGTATACATTGACAACCAAGTTATGTCGTTCAAAATTCCGTGTCGGCCACTGTACTAGAAAAATCATAAAAATATTATAACCAATAAAATCAAAATTTTGTGTGGGATAAAGTATGTCATTACAGCACCGAAAGCGGTGTTATAATGAAGTCATTATAAACGCAAAATAGATAAACGAGTTGCATACTACAATTTTTCTATGACAAATACTTATTATTATCTAAAAATAATTTAAATTAAATATTTGTACAAAGCGACATCTATAAAACAATAGAGTAACCATTCTTGGAAATATGTATTACCGGCGCCTCGTTTCATATATTTTTTTAAAATATTGGAAAAAATTTAATAATTTTGTATTTTTGTTTTGTTTTCACATTTAGTATTATTTTACAAGAAGGCACTTTTACATATTTGTAAACCCGACGTTGAATTGTTTTTCTGTTTTCGTCATTTTGATCAAAAGAAAAAATGCCATCTTTTATGTATATGTTGCTTAGAGTAAGTATGGAAAAATAATAAAAACGATTTGTTTCTTACATTATTTAATAAATAAAATAAAATAAAAGTCTTGTAGAAAATCTTAATATTAATGTCTGCAACGTTCCCTGTCAGCATTGGCTGGCCAATCACAGACGTTTGTTACAGTGTGGTAAGCAGTTCCTGGCTTACACTCAAACACCATTGGTTTACCATGAACACATCGGTAATACTAAAAAAAATTTAATGTCAAAATTAAGTTACACCGCACGTATACGTGTAAAGTACTATTTACCACACTCGAGTGGTAAGTAGCCCATTACCGCACGCTCATTTCTACATAAGTGATGGATTTTTTACCTTGGCGCAATCCTCATGTGGCATGAAGTCTCCCTTGCAGTCGGCGTTATTTTCAGGGTACGCTACATCGTTGTCTTCAGGTATTTCAGGTTTGTAGCTAGCTGTGGTAGTAGTAGTAGGTTTCAATGTAGGGCTCATCTCAGGACTGTGTGAAGTCGGTAGTTGCGGGTACACTACCTCGCTGCTGTCGGGGGTTTCCGTTGTGGGTTTTCTTGTGGTGGTGGTGGTCGTAGTTGGTTTAGGTTGGGTCGAGGGCTTTGCGTTTGGATCCCATTGGCCTGGCCTTGGAGTTGTCTTAACTGGTTTTGAACCATCCGCTGATGGGGTGCTTGGTGGTCTAGCCCATTCAGGCTGAAAACAGACATCTTTAATAAACTGCGCACCACTCAATGTGTCGCGACCACAAAGTTCGTTCTTTTTCAAAACGACATAACTTTTTTGTTCCTTGAACTACCTATTTTATTTTGGTCTGTGTTGTCTGCTAGCCTCATCCTTTGGCAATTCATGCTATAGATATGAAGCTCACAGTTCTTCAAATAAATTTCCTACAGGGTGATATGTTAAACTGTGAAAAATTTTAATAACTTCATCCAAGTCCCGTTTGTAACAAAATAATTTTTTCCTCGTTTTTACTTTAAAATAATGAAGTATTATGTCTTACCTTGTAGCGATTTTCAAATTTTTCGAATTAGAATGTTAGCAACGAAAATATGATTTTTTTTCTTAAAAAGAGTACCTACCTACATTTAAGGCTTTTTTGTAGGCAATACCCTCAGTCTTTTTAGGAACAAGAAGATAAGATGGTGAAATAATGTTCCTTAAATAAGCGACAAGCAACAAACTTCCACTATTTTCAGAGGGCCTAAGCAAAGACCACTTTTTCAAAATAACATTTTGGTGAAAATTTGAGAAAACTAAACCTAAACCGATATTTACGTTCGTGACATGTTTTATTCATAATTTTGAAATCCTGATTGTTATTCAGTTATCAAATTTAAGTTTCAGATAAAACCAAAATCACCAAGAATCAAGACTCGAAAACAATTCCCGGCTGTTAAATGACTAAATAAAAAACGATTGCTGGTTTTTCTATTTTTTACTGTGTTTTGCATCTTTAGTACGATATTAACATGCCGCTGAATAATCAAATCGAGGATCAAATGAAAATTAGTTCTTGAAAAACATTTAAAACGCATTATGAGGTGGAGAAGTGACTGTTTGGGGTGGAATGGCGATCAATGGAAAGAGTGAATGCTGAGAGATATAAAGATTTGGTTGTTAGTGATATCGTGGTCCCTTATGCTCAAAATGTTGCCAATAATTGGTTTGGTGGACGACAATGCCCGTCCGCACCGCGCCAATATCGTAAATGAGTATTTAAGGGACCATATTGAGAGAATAAATTGGCCACCAAAATGAACAAACATTTTTTTATTTAACTTTATTACCAATTAGGTAGGTACTTATCAGTGAAAAGTTATCACCAGTGCGCAATGTAAATGTAACTTATGTAATATTATCCTAACCACTTAAACAAATTGCAGTAATTTTGCTCAAAAAATGAATCCCCAAATGGCATTTTAATCATAAATATGCAAGAAACACGCCAGCAATAGAATTTTATTAAGACATTTAACAGCCGGGAATCGTTTTCGAATTTTGATTCTTGGTGATTTTGGTTTTATCTGAAACTTAAATTTGACAACTGAATCACAATCAGCAGGTCAAAATTATAAAGAAAACATGACATTGTCAAGAACGGAAATATTGGTTCAGGTTTAGTTTTCGCAAATTTTCACTAAAATGTAATTTTGAAAAAGTGGTCTTTGCTTAGGCCCCTCTGAAAATAATGAAAGTTTATTGCTTGTCGCTTGTTCAGAATTATTCAAGGAACAATCTTTCACCATTTTATCTTCTTGTTCTTAAAAGGACTGAGTGTATTGCCTACCAAAAACCCTTAAATGTACTCTTTAAGAAAAAAAAATCATATTTTCGTTGCTAAGATTCCAATTCGAAAAATGTGAAATCCTTTTCAAGGTAAGACATAATACTTCATTATTTCAAAGTAAAAACGAGAAAAAATATTTCTTTTTTCAAACGGGGCTTGGATGAAGATATTGAAATTTTTCACCGTTTTACATATCACACTGTACGAAATTTACTTGAAGAACCGTGAGCTTCATATCTATAGCATGAATTGCCAGAGGATGGGGCTAGTAGACATTACAAACCAATAAAAAATCGTTTAATAAACAAAAAAGTTATGTCGTTTTGAAAAAGGACGATCTTTTTGGACGCGACACATTGAGTGGTGCGCAGTTTAGTTGTATCTACAAGTTCCTGTGTTTACAAGTGTGAGTAAACTACAATATTCTTACCCTTGGGGTTGTGGCGTGAGTAGGCTCTGGAACATTGTACGACTTCATGTTGGCAGCCAAAATCTCGATGAGCGCATTCTTGGGACCGCACAAACCGTGGAAATCGTCCATGTCGATGGCCCAAGTCATAGCGCCTCCGTAACCCTTCGATTTGATCCAATCCATCTTGATCTGAACACTCTCTGGGTCCTCGTAACCGACCCATTGGTTGCCTTTGTAAGCGTACGGTACTTTACCGGCCTCGTCCCATTTCTTCGTCCATCCTGCGTCTTTGTTGTTCACTTCAGTACAAATCTAAAGAAAAATGGTATTTAGTTCAAGCAAATAACGGTCTTATTCTTACTTCGTAGTAGGCTAAGAAACCAGTGGCGTTTGTGTATGGGCCTGGGTCTCCACCGCCTGCCTCTTTGTTTATGTAAGTTCCAGGATTGTAATTGTTGTTGCTGTTACTTAGAGTGAATGATCTTCCGTAGAAGGGAATTCCGACAATGAGTTTTTTGGGGGAACATCCGTAGTCCACCCATAATTGCAAACCATCGTTCTATAGAAGAGATGATATAAGTTCAAATATATATATTTAATAATATTAATGTTTAAAAAAATCCCTGATATCTTTTGAACGAAAAAAGGTATTGACACTGGAAAGAAACCACACAGTAAAAAAATATTTTAGTGCTCTCCCAGGGGAAAGTTGTAGAGTGAAAAAGTTAGTGTAAACATCACACTATTTTCAATCTAAGTGGGATGGAATGATAGTAGTGTTCAACATCAATCTAACTTTACACTTAAATATTCATTTAACACTAGCCAAGCTCTGGCAGTGCACATTAGTGTAAATAGGCAATCAGGGGGTGTTCAGTTAACAAAAACGCAAACTTGTTTCTATCATTGTTCTCTCATAATTTGTGTTGGAAGAATGCACCAACCTGTTATAATTATTAACTAAAGGTAAGTCAATTTCAAAGTATTATTACTCATCATGGTTTATAATGTCAAAAATTGCATTTTGTTTTGGTTCATAATCGCGTGAAAATCGCTTTTTGTACAATAGTACAGACAAATTTCAAGTACAGTTTTCAAAATAGCTCAGTTTAATGTAAATAATAAGTAAATCGTTTTTTTTAATTTTTAGGTATTTTTCCTAAGAGTAAAACATGTCCATGATGCCAAGTTTAATAAAATAAAAATTTAGCCAAAACCTTAGCAGTGCGATACCAGCAGATGGCATTTTATGTTGACTTTAGCACTGAATTGCAAAATTTTATTTTGAGATTTTCACTGCTATATAATTATATAGAAGAATTTCCTGATTCGATAGAAATTTTAGTCACAAAATGGGTAAGAATTGGTTACCTGTATAAAACTACGAGATTTTAAGCTTGCTTTACAAAGAGCCATACAATTTACACCAATCTAACAGTGTCAATTGGTACTTTGCGCCAAAATATTATTTGGTGTTTAAATTTAAACGTATTTATATTTTAAGCAATTGACTAAAACTTACAATGGACTGTATTTAGGTATTTATATAAACTAATTGCCAAATATTGTAGTTTAATTTTTTGAAACGTAAAACTTACAATGCACTGTATTTTTATATAAATATAAATTTTATTTGTTTTATATAAACATTATTTAAACACCCCAGCAGTACCCAAAAGTAATTCATATAATTAAAAATAAATGAATATAAATATAAAAAATTTATAAAAGCAGAATCATTGAAAACCTCCATTACATATTTTTTTTTCAAGCGTACAATAATTTATATATTATAACACTTTAAAGTCTATATAAAAACCTTCATGAATATTAATACTAGTTCAAAAGTCAAATTATTATTAAACTCCCTACCTAAATAAAGCAAAAATGTCATCGTCAGTTGAACCTGATCTAAAAATGATGTGACAGAATTCAAAAAAAATAAAAAGTCCAATGCTTGAAAAACAATAGTAGGTATATAAAACACGAAAGCGAAAGCTTAATAATTGCCTTGCACACAATCTACTGCATCAGCTGGCGCCTCGGCAGTGAAATGTATGCTCAGCGATAATAAGTGATTTCTAAATGATAGTGATATTATACCATTTTTATCGACATTAAATGAATTTTATGTATGTAACTTTAAGGGCGCACTGCAGACACCAATCTTACACAATATTGTGTACAATTTTTAAATCTATTAGTGTTAGAATAAACACTAGATAGATGAAATTTCCAGCACCATTAGGAATAGCATTCACACTAAAAGTGAAATAAATGCAAATAAATTAGTGTCATTTAGAGAGCTACCGAACACGGTTAGGGTAGTAATTTTCAATCAAATAGTGTACCAAGTCGCACGAACTGTGTTAAATGTGTTACACTACAAGAGTACAACCTCTAGAGTTAAAACAACACTAAAATTCACACTAAATTTAAGGTGAAAATTTGAACTCTAATAAAGTGGACCTGCTCAAGCTATAACTAGTGTTCTCTAGTGCAGCCTAGTGTGAACTTTTTTTTACTGTGCATTGTCAAGAATATTAAGTATACTACCTTTTGTCTTGATGTTTTGCCAACAACTTTTAACAGCTCTTACTTTGTTTTTCTATACAAATTTTCACTTTTTTTTAACTTTTAACTACTGCTCTAAAAACTCACGACGTGTTGAAAAGAGTTATTTTCTTCGCGATTACCAACACAAAAACGTTTTAATAAAGAAATAATAGCAACAAAATGGTTTACACTCATGCAAATTTGCAAATTGGAAAGCGAATTGGTCATATTAAGGACGTATTGCTGCTCTACTAGAAACAATCATAAAACCTTTTTACTGTTTGGTTCTGTAACATTCTTACATAGAGAAAAAGTAGTCCTACGACCAAATGCTCCCCTGAGTCGGATTTAACAGATGCATTAAAGCTAACTTTCCGGGCACCATTAAATATTTCTAATATTTGTTTAACATATCACCAAAGTTTCAAGTATCAAAAGTTAGAATTCTTAAAATCCTTTACAATGTATTTCGTCCCATATTGATACCTTGACGTTTAACTTGTATATAACTTACGACATTTAAAGTTTCATAAGCCCATTGATCATGCGGTCTCTTGTACAAGGGACTGTGAGAATCAGCGAAACCAGCCCAATTACCTCTTAAATCATAAGACATGACATGAATGGCATCCAGCAACCTAAAAATAATGAAAACTTAACACAAGTTAACTCTCGAAAATGTTAACTTTCTTACTCGCAAAGCTCCGGCACATGATACCCCTCGTTCAACCTAAACTTTGCAATCGGCACAGCCATGGTGATCTCCCAACCTTTACCCTCTCCATCGAAAGCCCTCCTTAACTCCTCAACGAAGTAGAAGAATCTGTCTTTGTCCGAAAAACTTCCACCTCTATCAGCCGCTCCAGGGTACTCCCAATCCAGATCGAAACCGTCGAAGCCGTATCGGTTCATGAAGTCGACGATGGCCGCGATAAAATGGTCTCTCCTGGATTTATCGGCAACCATGGCCGAGTACTTTTCGCCACCTTCAGCCCATCCTCCCACGGCCACCTGAAGCTTGATGTTGGGGTGGGTTTTTTTGATGGCCGTGAAGTTCTTGAAGCCGTTTTTCTCAACATCCAACTACAAAAAGTTTTAGAGTAAAAAAAGTTGTTCAAAATAAGGCACGGTGTGCCTGAACGAAGTTTAAGTCACATAAAAATGACGCCAAAAACTGATTGCAGTTTCTTGTTCGGGACCCTTTGGTGAATTAAAAATGATATTTACCAAAATTCTAGCTGATCCTCCTTGAAAATTTATGATTTTTTTTTTAATTTTTGTTTATTTCAAAGTCTACCTTTGACATAGTACACATTTGTACACCGATTTTTATAAAATTAGAGCATATTAATAAGGAGACTTAAAGAATACTTTTTAATACTGTTCACATAATTTGATATATACAGGGTGAGCCAAAAATCGCTTATTTTTAATAAAGCAAAAGCGTAAATTCATGATTTTGGCATAACACGCAAAACAGATGTATCCCCATTTTTTTTTTAGATATTTCTACGTTTATTAGGTTACAAAATGGCATTCTTATTAACCTTTTATTAAAAAAATAGATTTTTAATAAAATTAAATAAAATAACGCTTAGAGAATATTTAAAATGTTGTTTAATTTAGGCTTTTTAGAAGTTATCAATTTTGAACGAAAAACTGGTTAAAGTTTTTTGATCGGCACTCTTTGGAGATTTAAAAACGATATTTACCAAAATTCTAACTCATTTTTTTTTAAATTAGGTATTTGTTTATCGCAAAGTCTACCTTTGTCAGAGTACACATTTGTACACCGATTTTTATTGATTGCAGTTTCTTGTTCGGGACCCTTTGGTAACTTTAAAATGATATTTACCAAAATCCTAGCTGCTCCTCTTTTCGAAATTTTTTGAAAATTCTTAATTTTTTTTTAAATTTTTGTTTATCTTACCTTTGACAGAGTACACATTTGTACACCGATTTTTATAATATTGGAGTATATTGTTAACGAGACTTGGAGAATACTGTTTTCATACTGAGCACAACATTAGATTTATACAGGGTTAGCCAAAAATTACGTTTTTATATAGTAAAAAGCATAATGCACAAAACAGATTTATCTCCAAAAAAAATTATTTTATTTAATTTTATTCAAAATCAATTTTTCTTATAAAGTCTTGATAAGAATCCCATTTTGTAGCCTGATAAACATAAAAATATCTAAAAAAACATGGGTGGGTATATATCTTTTTTGCGTGTTATGCCAAAATCATGAATTTACGATTTTGCTTTATTAAAAGAAGCCATTTTTGGCTAACCCTATATATATTAAATGATGTGCACAGTATAAACAGTATTCTCCAAATCTCCTTAACAATATACTCCAATATTATAAAAATCGGTGTACAAATGTGTACTCTGTCAAAGGTAGACAGTAAGATAAACAAAAATTTAAAAAAATAATCATGAATTTTCAAAAAATTTCGAAAAAAGGAGCAGCTAGGATTTTGGTAAATATTATTTTTAAGTCACCAAAGGGTCCCGAACAAGAAACTGCAATCAGTTTTTGGCGTCATTTTTATGTGACCTAAACTTCGTTCAGGCACACCGTGAAGGCACTCTAATAAATAGTTACTTCTGGATCTATAACAAGAACACCCCATGTTTTATCCTCTATCCCAATGAAGGAATATACTATATGTGTGCATAAGTCCACAGGGATGTCTTCAATAGCATATTTTCCTACACCAGGTCTATAGATGGCCCAGTTACTGAAGTAACATACTATTCTTGATGGGGTCGCATCTAAAATACACAAGAAAAGGTTAGAGATATATTATGCTATATTTAATCGGTCTATAAGTTAAACTTAATTGTTGTCAACACTCGTTTTATGGCCTAGGCACTTTAACTTTCAGCTCGGTACAAAAAGACTCGCTTCTTGGCCTGATGACATAAATCATTTAAAATTCATGATAAATGACAACTGTTTTAAGTGAGAAAATGTACTAAATTTGTACGAAAAAGTACGAAATAATGATTTAAAAGATTTATTGTTTCTTTTTCTAGATGATTTTAATAAATTTTTTCTTCAAACGTTTTATAATTTAAGATTTATTATTGTCTACGCTCACTAAAAGTATTAATACTTGTTAAAATCATCTAGAAAAGGAAACAATAAATCAAATATGATTATCTCCTAGGCTGTACAAATACACTGCGCGTCAAAATTAACGCATAATTAGTAAAAAAACTCTAAAACGCCTTTACCAATCTTTATGAAATTTTGTATAAAAATACTTCAACTTATTTCTCAGTTTACGTGTTCGAGGGTTTTTTCGAGAAAATATTTTTAAAGCCCTTTTATTTAATAATAAAAAAACGTAATTTTCAGGGAATTTGTTTTTAACCAAATAAAAAATATGCTATTAAAGATCGTATTTTTGTTAGTACCCTGAAAATTTTGTACAAATCAAACGAACAGTAACGAAGATACATCGCTTCAAAGTCGGTAAAAATGACCCCTTTCTGATTATTTTGCTGAAAATTAGTCATTTTTGACGATTTTGAAGCGCTGTATTTTTGTTATTGTTCATTTGATTTGTACAAAATTTTCAGGGTATACCTACTCACAAAAATACGGCATTTCACAGCTTATTTTTTATTTACTTTAAAAAAATTTCCCTATAAAAGTTTTTTTCGAGCGTTTTATTATTAAATTTCTCGAAAAACCTATGTATTTTTAATAATTGTTATTATAAAATTTATGAATGAAAAAACAAAAATAAAATGGAGAAAAACCCGAATTTATAAAAGATGAATTTAAATAATTTTTTTTAGATTATTTTTTCATAAAACTTAAAGAAAGAAAAATTGAAAAAAAAACAGAAAAGTATGTACCAGGATAGTGTTACAAGATAATACTTCGAAAACGGTTTAAAAAAAAATTGTGAAATTTTTTAAACTGATCTCTGTTTTGAGGGATGATGTACTTTTTTTAAATTCGAATCTTCGAAGAAAACTAGGTATGTGTCCAAAAAAAGTTTTTGTTTTGCACTTTCTGTTACTCAATTATGATTTATTAAATTATTAAGATACCAAAAAATATTAACTATTAAATTTCAACTAATTTATCGTCTGTCATGTCTGAGAAATTCTTTTTCCTTCAACTTTTAAACACTTTCTCACTCTTTTTCTAAATAAATTTCGTACACTTGATAAATAAATTAAAATTATTTTTTAGTTTTTTATAATATAACAAATCATAATTCTGTGAGCGAAAACGCAAAACAATTTTTTTTGGCCAAAATACCTTGTTTTTTACATAGATTCGAATTTTTTTTTTAAAAGTACATTATTCCTATTAAAATTGCAAATCTTTTTATAAATTTTTAAGACCCTCATTTATTAAACACACGCTCGCAAGCTTTCCTTGTGTGGCACATTGTGCCTAATTAACACATTCCTAAAATACCGTTTAATATTTTTTTACTTACTTTACACTATTTTTACAGATTATTAATATAAAAGGATTAAAAAAAAACAAATTATGTTAAATTTTTCTTGGAAGTTTTATTGAAATATTTAAAAAATGTGGTTTACAAACGAATAATTAAAAACTTCTGTTTTGTTAATTTTTTTAATATTTATGATTTTTTTCAAAAAATTAATACATTTTTTCGGTTGAGTAAAAAAAATTAAAATCACAAATGATAAAATACCTGTTAGGTGTGCATTCAAACACAAAAAAATTAAAAACCAGTATTATCGTCGAATGAATAAAAACTCATTATAGTGTAATTAATATATTGTTTATAACTAATAAATTGTGTAAAGGGTTTTAATATTCTTACCAGCATGTTGTGTTGCAAATAATGCAAACGCCCATAGCAGGAAACAACGCATTATAACTGGAATAAAAATTATTAATTTAATATTTGTAAACAATAATTATTAAATAATAACCCATTAGTATGCCTACTAGATATACATGAACGTAACACCATAGCAAAACTTTGATCTAAGAGGTGGTCCAACTCCTTCTTTTAAATTTATTAATTATGTATTAACTACTAATTTATTACTAAAAAAATATTCGGTAATTTGACAGATATATGAGATCGATATTTTTTATCAAAAATATTACAATTAAAAAAGGAATAACGTAAAATTACTTTAAAAAATATATTATTCAACGCTACTATTCATATTTTTGACAGTTCATTTCTAAAAGATCTAAATTTAAGGATTGTCAAATTTGGCTCTCTATAGGCTTGATATACAATAACCTTGATTTTAATTCAATTAAAAATGCCATAAATCATATCATTGAAAATATTAGTCAATAAAGTTCTAACAAAACGTTTTAATATTCATGTTCTTAAAACTATTTGCAACGTAGAGTGTCAAAGAACTTGCTGTCTCAGCCTGCGTTAACAATGCATTCTTAATAAATAAAAAAAAAGTTTGATGCATCACCCACCATGCTGTTTGAATTTAAAATTAGGATTCTCTGCGTGAATAATTTTATTTGTAAATGTTTTTGTTTCCTTTTTAGTTGTTTGACACGGGTTGGAAATAAAATTAAAATATTTTGAGGGATCAAAAACAATAAAAATAAAATAAAATAATTTTTTATTATGCAGAAGAACTGGTATAAAAGAAAAAATGGGTAAATTCTTATTAAACTGATCTATAGGTAGTTTGTATATTTTCTTTGTTGTTGTTAACTGTTAATTGAGTAAAACAATCCGTTATAAAATATTAATTTAAAAGTATGTAATGAATATTTATATCAACGTAGGTAGATAAATCTTAAATTAAAATTTAAAACCATCACATACCCATTATAAAATCCTTTAATATGAGTTTTAAATAAATATTTATTTACAAGAAATTAAAAATAATTTAATATTATACCTATCAAATAATTTAAAAAATGGCGAATGCGCCAGGAAGAATACCTATGGATATAAGTTAAAATTTGTTGTAGTCTTAATTTTTTTAGAGCTTAAACCAAAGGTCATAAGGATCTGTCAATGGTTGAACCCAGGGGCGGATCCAGAAAAAGATTTGGGGGACAAAATTTAAAAAAATTAAGTATCACTCATGCACTACAAATATTTATTTCTTGTTTTTGAAAAAAAATATTTTCTTCAAAATTTTCATATATTTTATTAAATAGGATTTAAACATTTCGATATGAAAATCGTGTTTTTAATTTTTCACTAGTAAAATAAATTTTGGGCAAACATTTTGAAAATCTGAAATTTTCAGAAAATATTCTTTTATTGTGTTGTAAAAAGTTGTTACAATTTTATCACGACTTCAAGACTTTATTAGTTTTTTAGTTGGATATTTTTAAATTTTTAGCTAAAATTTTTAGAATTTCGATTTGTCTAAAATTGAGTATTTTTAATATGAAATATCTAAGAAGGGACTAACTTTAAAAATCAAAAATTTAAAGAAAACATTATTTTATTGGGATTTAATAAGTTAAATTTTATCACTAACACTACAAGTTTTTTTGTTTTTGTTTTTAAAAATAGTTAAAATTTCAGAAAGCTTGTAGTAAAATTTTAACCTCTAAACAATTTGTTGCGTGTTTTAAATTTACCAGGGTACTGGGACAAAATCTTGTAAAGTAATTTTTAAATAAATAAAATGAACTTTTTTGACTATATTTTGTTCGTGGGACAAGCCAGAATACTGATAATTTAAATATAAATTAATTCGGTTTGTATCACATTTTAGTAATATAAACTTAGCCGCCGAAAATTTCCTAGTATGTAGAATTTGTAGTTTGTTAAATGTGGCTGTTTCTTTAGCAAAACTTTTTTATGCAAAAATATATGGCTATAAATATCCTATATACAGGGTGTTTCACATTCGTGGTCCATTAGAAATTTCTGGGGAACGGAAACAGATATCGATTTGAAATTTTAAGTCTATTTTTCTGAACAAAATTTAACTTAAAAATGGGCGTCAATTAAAATAGCCTATAACTTTTTTGTTATTAGGTTTGCGAATATAGGGGTGGAATTTTTAGAATCTTATCCCGTTATGTTTTTACATAATCAAATAGTAAATTAAAAACCTTTCGATTGATTTACTATTCCCTATACCTAAGGTTAATAATTTCAGAGATATTTAACAAATTCTAAAATTTTAAATATTATTTTATCAAGAAATGAATAATAAACGATTTTAAAATTTCAAATCGATATCTTTTTTGTTCCCCAGAAACTTCTAATGGACCACGAATGTTAAACACCCTGTATATAGGATATATAGTCATATACCAAATTATTTAAAACAATTATTTAATTTAAATCCAAGAAAGCGACTATTTTTTGAATGGGTGCTATGATTTTTGCATAAATAAATGTTTTGCTAAAGAAAAATCTGAATGCAATTTTTTTAAATTTTACGTTGTTTTTTCTTTCATAAAAAACAGATTTTTAAGCCGTGCATCCTAAATTTTTTATTGTTTAATATAAATAAATAAATAATTAAGTGCTTTAAAAATAAGGCAAAAAATAATTATATTGTTTGTGGTGTTAAAAAAATAAATAGCACCTATACAAATAAATCGTTTTATTGTAAAATAATATTAAACAAAAGTATGCAAATGTGTATAACACCCATCGCAAACATTTTGTAAAAAAAAGAAAAGAAGTCTATCTGTAAAATATATTTTGCAAAAATGGCGGATGCACCGGGAATAATATTTTTTCCTATCAATAATTATAATAATTGAAGGGACAAGTGGTTGAAGGGGTTGAGTAACATTTTCAATAATAAAGGACAAAATATGTATATTGTAATTGCCATTTATTTTTATTTACAATCAAAATATTGTTTGTTTTTTTTTTAACTTAAAAGAACATGACATCTTCAAACAAAAAATATGCAATGGAACCAAATTTATTTTTATTACAATTACAATATTTTTTGTCCTGTATTATTAAAATTGTTACTTATCTCCTTCATCTACTTGCCCCTTTAATTGTTTAATGCAGGGTAAAGTAGACAGTTATCGGACACTTTATAGTTATTGGACAATTAACATTAATATTGTCACTTTAATTCGTTTTAATTTTAATTTTGAAAACAAACAGTAAAATGGCCAGTGTCCAATTACTTGGTAAAAAAAAGTAAATTTCTATTATTGGACATATGTCCCGGACACTTACCAGACAATTCTTATGTAAAATTTGAATCCTAAAAGACCGTCAAAAACTATAAAAGTTAAGCAGTTTTTGAGATATAGTCAATTCCATATTATATGTAAAATTGATTATATTTCAAAAACTATTCTACTTTTATAACTTTTAGCGAATAATATTTCATAGGAATTAGTGGCTGCTTTTTCGCTATGACATTTTTGACTAATTCATTCTTCATCACAGGACATCTTGCAGAATAACAGTGATTTAATTACCGTACAGGGAACAAAATTAATAAATTCAGAAAATACTTTTAACATAAGTACCACCCGAAAAAATATTAGATATATATTAGGGTGCTTCATTTTAGAACGACATTTTTTTTTCAAAGTCCTACCTGAAAATCTTGTAACCGGTCAGAAAACAAAAATTTTGAGCTATTACAATGGCGGACATTTTTATCAAATATTGTCGAAATTAATTAAAAATCCGTAAGAGGTTCTTTTTAAAATGTAATAAAACATCTTTTTATAAAAAAGCTTAATTTATATATAATATTATTTAATATCTACATATATATTAAACAATCTCCGTCACTGGATTCGCTCGTTGTATCATAAGCAGAGCATGGGAAACCATCAGAAGATAGCAACAGTTTTATTGCTTCGCAGGACAAAGATTTGCTCTTTTTCGGAGCAATTTTTCTGAAGCTAGAAATATACGGATCGGAAGATGCCATAAGCCAATGGAAAACATCTTCCATCGTTTTCTCCCGAGAAACTTTCAAAATTTATTTATAAAATTTAAATGTAACAGATTTTATACTAAGTATTTTAAATTTGTATTATTTATTTTACTTAATAAACGATTTCTTAATTCGCTAAAAAATTGTCAACACAAATAACCACAATTCAAATTTGACATTAACACACTACAATGCGCATGCGGAGTTGTTTTAACGCACCTACAAGAGGTGGGTTAAATATGTAAAATCGGTGTTAAATATCTTAGTAGTCACGAACGATTTACGCAAGTGAAAGTCTAAGACATTGCTGTTGTAATAAACGTTTTGAGTTAAATCCGAGTGAATCGAGTAAACGTCATGAACGCAACCCAGAAATAAAAAAATCTTATATTTTGTAAAGCAAAAACACAGATACCCGCTCGACATAGGCTTAAAAACGCGAGGTTTTTTACCACAACCGTGCCTGAGCGCCCAAAAACATGTAGTTTTAAAGAGCCGGGGGCAAGTTGGGGCAGCTAATTTATTAATGGCTTGATAGACAAAACTCTAAGCTATTCAACGGATCTTGAACTGATGCCTTACAATTCATTACAATTTTTGTAGCTCCATTGTTTTAAAAGCTCGATTCAAAGTTTGCGATTTTAACAGACCGATCTTGTCGGTTACAATAACCCGTTGTACAAGCAAAATCTACGAAAAACAAATACATATCTGAATTTTAAATACCTTGAAGATCACCCTTCATCAAACCGCATAACAATCGGACACACCAAACAAAAGTTATTCCCTTTTAAACAATAAACAATTTTCCGCAGCGATCGCGTGTAAAGTACCCTCAACTGAAAGCGTCAAGTTTAAACTAATGTACAAGACAAAACATACGTATTTTATATAATTTTTTTTCAATACAGGATGGAGACAGGTATTAACTACCCACCTAACTCAAAATTTACCTGAAAAAAAAATGTCAATTTTTGAGGTTTTGCCGATAT